TCACCATGATGACCCTATAGTCCGAGCGAGACAATCAGAATGACCCTACCGTACACTTCTGCAAAACAGCATTAGAAATCTCCGCAATGATGCTGCTATAACGACTACGAGCCATTACAAGTACCGATACGGTGAAACGAGCACCAATTGCATAGTCAAAACTACAGAACAGCTCCTCAGACCCCAAACCCCAAACCTTCGTCCTTGAACCCAAAGGGCCCCTCGCAAAGAGAAAGAAGACAAAGCTCTTTCGGCCTCCAAGGAGAGGAGCTGCTCAGAGGGAACCTCCATCGCCGCCTGCTTTCGGGTTTAGGGTTTAGGGTTTAGGCGGGATCCCCAAGCTTCTCGGGGGTTCGTCCCCAAGCTTCGTTGAGCGCGTTCGGGGGTTCTCCGCGGGGGGGGGGGGGGGGGGGNNGGTTTGCAAGAGGAGGGTTTAGGGGGCGTAGAGTTGGTGCTAAAACGGTGCTGCTGAGTAGGCCAACCCCAAACACTCTGCTTATTCTCTTCTGGGATTCAGGCCGTCTTGTGGTGCCGATCCACTCAGGGCGTATGCAAAGGCTGCGAGTAGCTTGCAAGTCGGTGGCTTCCGGATTGTCTTCAAGATCGGGTCTGCGAGAGGCCAATCTCAGCGACACCCGCCCGGAAAATGGCCCACGAGTCCACCACTGGCTAGGATCTTGACCAAGATCATCTTCTCGTGCTAGGCACTAAATTCATCCTAATGCCAGGCAGGGTTCGGAATGCGCACCTTGTAGGAAGCCGCTTGCTCTTGCCGGAGCCTTTCCGTCTCCTCCACTGGTTGCTGAGAAAATGGCTGGCGAGGACGCCGACCGAAAACTAAGATGATGGCACGGACACCGACGACGGACGACATCGACTATAACGATGGCATGTTCGACTTACGACAAGTAAAAAACACACAAGAATAGGACGGTGAACACTTGTTCGTAGCTGTCCAGGGCACCTGTCGGAGGCTATCGCAGCTCACCTTCTCCGCCTCGCCACTGGGGATTTACGAGTTGACTTTGGCTTCGAATGGTTGGTTGAACCTTCTGACCTCACGAGCAGCGTTGGCGGAAGCAATGCTGACAATGCCAACAACATTTCTTATGACCGTGAGAAACACCACCACCACAGTAAAAGTACGAGAATGCTGAAAACGCAGTAACCAGAGCAGCAGCAGGAGGAGGCGTCAGGATCAACAGCCATCACCGTCGCAGTTTCCGCAGAAGTGGGGTGGCAGCAGTGGTGGTGATCACAATCGTGGTGTAGTATGAGTAGTAGTAGCAGCAGCNNNTCGTCGTCGTGGTGGTGGTGGCGGCGGCGGTGGCGTGGGGGTGGGGGTGTTGGCGGTAGTGGCGGCCGTGGTCGTTGTAGTGGTAGTGGCAATTGCAGTTGCAGTGGTAGTGGTGGTGATGGTGATCGGCGCAGGACTGGCGTAGGAGGTAGCGGCAGTAGCAGTGACGGCAGCAGCAGCTGGCAGCAACAGAAAGTAGGACTGGCGGTAGTCGCCGCCGAACTGGTAGCAGTTGCGAGCAGTTGTGGTGTTTGTTGTCGGTGCTGATGGCGATCCATGAAGTTCCAGGTGTTCAGCCGTAGTCAGTTGTAGTTGCAGCCCGGGCACAAGAACGAGTTCTATCACTAGCCTTGCGGCGAAGACGACGATGTGGTCATAATTAGGTGGCAGCATGGCAGGACGAGCAGTAGCAGCAGCACCAGAAGCGGCAATGGCATCGGTACAACTGTACTACAGTAGTACTACAGTAGTAATACACTCTATCGCGTCGGCAATTTCTACGAGCTTTGAGCATCCTTACAAGTACCATCACCGAACGAAGCTTTTCGTGCTTGTTATTACTGATCTCTTCGCCATGGACCCCAAGCCAAACAAAACCCTGAACATCCTAAAACCACCCTTCCCTGCTGCCTGGATCCTTCGCTCGAGCTCCCTGCGCTCAGCATCGCACTCGCCTGTGAGGCGCGCCAACTCCTGGCCGCAGGTAGGGTTTGTCGAACCTTGAGCGCAAGAATGTGCTTAAAGTACTGCCAACGAGACAATGAACAAGGTTCACAACCATCACGGGTCTTAGAAGAAAGGCATCTACTCCTAGTCTTGTGAATTCCTAAAAATGTGATGGTGTCGACAATGATGAGGAGGAGGTTACACTATCAGCCAACCTCGAGGCTCCCTGAAAGAAATGAGTACCACAAGGAGGTCTGCATGACGCTGGCACCAAACTGACTCTGACCGCAACCAGCAAGCTTTCCGGATGGCTTCTTCGCACGCTTCATATCTTTTCAATCTCTGGTTTGTGGTTGTGCAGCATGTTCGTGGCATTGGCTCGGTCGACCCTTTGGGGCAGAATAGAAGCACCCCCTCTTTTTCCTGTCCGTCTGCCAGCTGTGCCGGCCTATGCCCTATGCTAACTGGCAACTTGCACGACGAAACTGAAACTCCAAGCCGATTCAAACACGAAGAACCCGACGGTCCCTGCTACTATCGTCACTACCATGAGAACATTCATCATCACCACCATCATCATCAGCAGAAGCATCATCACAGCAGCAGCAGCAGCAGCAGCAGCAGCACCATCGCGGTATTGTCCTCATCTTCAGCACCAGCACCGCCTTCATCGATCAGAACTGTGACCACCATTGCTGTACACATCATCGCCATCATCGTCATCATCATCATAATCCCCAAAACTTCGAAACCAAGATCAACCCGGACAATTACCATCATGGCCAGCATTACGGACAAACACTGAAAGCACGGCCGATTCGGGGAAGGCCACCAAAATGGCAGCCTGCGTGGGGCTCCGGATCCCATACTGAAAATGACTAAACCCTCATCCTTCGTATCCGAGTTGATGGGTCTTAGACACAAAAAACTCTTCCAGCTACGGCGCGCCTGTTCGAGACTGTCTTTCCTCTCACTGAGCTGCTGCTGCACCGCAGCAGCCTGGCTGGATGCTCGTACTGTGGGTAAAGTTTCGGCAGATCAGTAAGATGAATCCAAGTGAATTTATACTACTGCAGGGAGCCATGACCACAACTTCAGTTTTGGCCTGTGCTGGGCTGGTGCTTTTTGATTGCGGGCCTGTGGAACCTATTTAGCAGTGGCGAAAACAACATCAATAAGAATGGTCATGGAAAGATGTACCGCTGGACAACCTCACTTTTGGGCTTCGGCCATCAAGGGCGCGGGGAGAAAGCATGCTCAGTCGCGCTACCATGTGCTTTAACGGTCCAGTCACCATCTTTGCGGGCAGTGACCTGGATACGCGCCATTTGCCAGCCTGGACGGCCACCCTTTCCGTCGGCGCCCCAAACCTCTTCGAAAACCTTATTGCTTGCTGCTTGCACGCCTCGAAGCACTTCAGGGCCATAAGGTCCCCCCGCATTCGCTTCCACCAGATCCGCACTGCTCGCTGGGGTGTCCGCAGCTTCCAGCTGTGCAAGGGCACTGGCTCCGGCCGCCATCTCCCCCTGCATCCGAACCGCGACGGACTGCTCCGCAAAGTTAACATCGTTGATCTCAAAGTGGATGACCAACTTGTTGTATCCATCCGGAAATGCAAAGTCGATATATTCATACATGGCAAGGTCGCGGCCGCTTGTTTCAGCCATTACATTAACCTTCTTCTTCCTGGCCTCCCTCACAAGAAGAAGACCGACCATCTCGGAGACCTTTCGGTAACGAGCGAAGATCGCCTCCTTCGCGGCCGCGTACTCGTCCACGTTGGTGATGGTGTAAAGCTTGCGGAAGTCTTCGTTCGCCAAGGTTGCGACGATGAAGTCCAGCTGCCTGAAGAAGCTGTTGGCACCACAAGGCAGGTCTGCAATGCTCGGGTCGTTGCTGTCAATGCCAAGTGCCTCAGCAAGGACTGCCGGAAACCAGGACTCGTAGAGCGAGGATGTCTTGCGAATGCCATTCAGCCCGGTGACAAGCACCGCCCAAGGCTTGGAATCGCCTTTGCGGGAAGCTGCAGCTGCCACAGCATTGTCCCAACCTCCTCCAGTAAGGACGCGCTTGAAGACCTCCTGGAAGACTGTGTCATCTGGACCGGCGATGATGTCGGCAAGTTGCTGCGAGGCTTCGGCTGTCTCCGGCCAGTTCTTATGGGTCGTATGTGCCGTAGTGGCGAGCAGCTCTTCAAGAGCATCTTTGTACCCTCCGGCGCCCTTGCACAGGTTCAGGTGACTCTTCATCATCGATGCGAGCTCGCTGCTCGTCAGAGGTGTGAAATTCGTAGCATTAGCCTTCATGGTGGTGAACATCGTGAGATCACTCATCGGAAGGAGCAGCAGGAGACCAATCAAAAGGATGCCGACTTGCTTCCTGCGCACAACCCCGTCCCCACAAAGTAAAAGGGAAGAACAGCATGCCTGTGCGCTCCTGCACCACTATCAGCACCAGCACGACAGCCAAAGACAATTTCAGAATCATCTCACCCGGCCTTCACTAATAACAAAATACATCAAGTCCGCGGAGAAAGACCCCTGCCACTAGAGACAGAACAAACTAGTAGAAGTACTCGTCTTGCTGCTATGGCTACTACTACTACTACTACTACTACTACTACTACTACTAGTACTACTAGTACTAGTACTAGTACTAGTACTACTTCTACTACTACTACTACTACTACTACTACTACTACAACTACTCCTGCTGCTGCTGCTGCTGCTACTACTACTGCTACTACTACAACCAC